GTTGGTATACTGAATGATTACACACGAGAAGTAACACTACATGTTTGCTCTATTCTTGTATTTTTTGCCAGGCACTCACAAGTAGCCACTGGTAGAAAAAAGATATTAGACTAAAGAGACCTTTGGTCTGAGCAGTTGTCCATTGCTTTCTCTCTCTGTTGCAGGATTTCTTTTTTCCCAACAGAAAACTAGTTCAGGAGTATTTCTGACATGTTGCTTAAGTACTGCACATAAATCTTTTTGTATCCCCTAATAAATACCAAGGACGTACTGAATTCCCACAAAACCACAAGTACCAAACTCCATAAACCAGCATGAGTCAAACTAAATAAGATTCCACTCGTTATGCTAATGGAGTTCCAAAGTCCCGCCCCAAGTCCAGAAACGCTGGCACAGCGTACAATTTATGTAACGATTCTGTGAAAAACCGTTAGAAGTGCTGGAGTAATGCTTCGCTTTTCCCCTACCACAGGAATGGTCCCCAAAACAATATAAAATCAGTTCTCAATTCAATGAATTTTCATTCAGACAAAACAAAGAAGAGGAGATGCCCATAACTTGGCTTCCTTTACTCCCCTGGGAAGCTTTATGCTATCAGCGCATGTTAAGAGAGGAACAACAAATGGCCCCCCATTCGCCTAAGGTTTTAGATTAAAGGCTACAGTCAAACAGTAAATGCAGAGCCATTCCTATAAGGAACTGGCAATCACTTGATTCTAAGTGCTCTCACTTTTCCCCCCCTCTCTCTAGCAAGTATTTTTCACAAGAAATAATTGATCTGTTCCCACAGCGTAGTTTTCTTTCACAGCTGAATTTCAGAATCACAAATAAGATGTCATGTCCAAGAAACACTGTTTTAAGCCTACAAAAACACTTTTCAGTATTACTCTAATCACAGTAACATCCTAATCTTTCCTAAAAAAGAGAAAATAACACATCTTAGCTCCACTTAGTTTCAAAAGTAAATATTTTCACAGCAGTTTAGTGACAGTACAGCACTTCTACGAAATAACCGAGCACTCCTTTTGTCAGAGCGAGCTTTGTTCTTGGGAAGTGCATTTAACTGTTAAAATATTCCACTCTATCAGTATATGAGAATACTTGCCCTTTTCCAGGGACCTGCTGATGTCAAGACAATGTATTCCACAAAAGCCCAAAGCTTGAAATAAATTTCACAGGGACAAAATACAGACTTTTTGTTATAGTTAGGCACGGCAGCATGGCTGAAAGTGACCTTACCTTCAAATGCAGTATACGGAAGGGGTGACTGAGATAGGAAGGATCAAACTGGACTAGAACCTACTGGCAAACTATTATCTATGTCAGCCTTTTTAGAAAATAAATTCTGGAGACATTGTGTCAAAGATAGTTTAATGCAGGTATCTTATAAAACAACATTAAAAATGTTTTCATAATCACAACACAGGTATTGATTCGATTAACATTTTTATTCAATGACATTTACTCATTTTGATTCCTTTCTTCTCCTGTCCTCATTTTCAAATAGGATTTAAATAACTATTTTTCTAGAGAATGTCAATACTGAGATCTGTTCACAAAAATTTCTCAGACCACCAATCAGCATTGTATTTAAGTAATAATGCTGCGTGATGTGTCCCTATCCTTTCTTTTGCCAGTTCGACCACTAATAGTTGAAACAGTAATGCAATAAGGTACAAAAATACCTTGCAAGATTTGTTCGGGTATTTTAAGGAAACTCCAGAAGTATTATGATACTTTGTCTTATCCAAAAAGAATCCAGACTTTCACGCCACTTTCTCTACCATTCCATCAGGCTTCTTGGTTTATTACATTGTCCTCTTTTTGGAGATCACAGATGTGATTTTTAAGAGTGAAAACCACAAATCTCCTCCAATGACAAGAAGCTTAGGCTCTGATCCTGAAAACACATATGCACTTCACAGTGCAGCAAATTGTATTCCCCTCCTTGCGAACCTTAGAGTTAGATGACTAATGTCACGTAGTCTTTTGTAGGCAGATGTAGAATCTTTTGTGTATTGCACAGTATAAACAAGTAAATCACGTTTTACAGGTGTATATTTTCAAATTCTTAATTATATCTAATCACCAAATGCGACAGTCAAAAATTATCCCTAAACAGATGCATTCTGACTCTAATGTAATCTAGGACAGGTTCTGAGACTTGTGTTTGTCTTTTTGCACATAATTGTGTGCAAAATAAGAAGTCAACCTTAAGGCCTTTGAAAAAGCCCAGGCCATCATTTCACCCAGGCCTATGTTCTCATTTACCTCCCATCTACCGACCTGTGTGAATCTGGCAACTTGTCGTTTCTGTAATTTATGCTGAGTACTCAAACATTTTACCAATATATGAACAGAAGAAAAGTAGGGGGAATGAATATGGACTGATATAAAAATTAAAAAATATGAATCTTTGATAATTTACGGACACTCCTTTCATATAAGGCACATTAACAAGTAAGGTATCCTGCAACGAAAAATTAATGTATTACTTTCAGAAATCTGATTCAAAGGCAAGGAAGATTACACTGTCACAATGTATAATTTATGTTGTCAGCATGACATTACAATTAAATTGAGGCAAACACATTTTGCCTCCTTGGAAAATATTTTTTTAAATCTGTACGTGTCAGCTGATTGTGTGACTGTATGAACAGTTAATATGATTTCTCTCATAAAAGCTTCCCAAATCTAAACATTTTCTTCAGTCTTTTTCAAGAAGTTGGCACTTAAAGTATATGCATAGTAATGTATTTTGACTACATTAAATTGTTTTTTGTAGTAATAAAAATCAATCTGCTGTAGTTCCAGAGTTTCCTGAATAGGTTTAAAACGCATCTCCAGTAGTCTGTGCTACTTTAGTGTTAAATAATGAGGTAGCACATTGTTCCAAAATTGTTCTGAATTATGTAAACCATTTGCTACGTGCTGTTTGGGCTTCATTTTTTGTTTAGAGCTGTTTGGTAAAGCAGTACTTTCTGTCTTCTCTGGCTTTCTGGCTTTGCTTTTCTTTTGTAGAAGCTGATAACTGTAATTTTTTCTTTTAACTTTTGCTTTTTCCTCTTCCACTCCTTCTTCCTCCTCGCACTCACCCTCTTCTTCCTCCTCTCCCACATCCTCTTCCTCTTCTCCTTCTTCCCCCTCCCCCTCTTCTCCTTCTTGTTCCTCCTCTCCCTCTTCCCCTTCTTGTTCCTCCTCTCCCTCTTCCTCTTTTTCCTCTTCTTTCTCTTCCCCTTCTTCTTCTTCCCCTCCCTCTCCCTCTTCCTCCTCTTCCTCTTTCTCATCCTCTCCCTCCTCCTCTTCCACTCCCTCTTCCTCTTCTCCCTCTTCCTCCTCTTCCTCTTTTTCCTCCTCTCCCTCCTCTTCTTCCACTCCCTCTTCTCCCTCATGGTCAACTCCCTCTTCTTCCTCTTCTTCTTCCTCCCCTACTCCTTCATCTTCTTCCACCCCTTCTCCCTCTTCTTGATCTTCTTCTTCTTCCCCTTCCTCTTCTTCATTTTCCCACTCCTCTTCTTCCTTGTTTTCATCTTCTTCCCCCTCCTCCCCTTCTGCCTCTGCTCCTTCCTCTTCCTCCTCCTCCTCTTCCTCTTCTCTTTCCTCTCCCACTTCATCCTCCCCCTCTTCTCCTTCTCCTTCCACTCCATCCTCCCCCATCTCCTTAGTCCTCCTATTTGCATCTTCCTCCTCCTGTTCTTCTTCGGATACCTCCTCTTCCTCCCTCCCTGACAATGATTCTTCTAACTCCTCCTCTTCACCCTCTTTATCTTTTTCATTCTCCCTTTCATTGTTTTCTTTCTCATTTTCCTTTTCATCTTCTCCTTCCTCTTCTGCCTCTACCTCTTTTTCTTTCTCCTCCTCTCTATCTTCTTGTCCTTCCTCACTCTCATCTCTTCCCTCACTTTCAACCTGCTCCTCCTTTTCTTTTTCAGTGTCTTCCTCTTTTGCATACTTCTCCTCCTCCATATACTCCTTTTCTCCCTCACTCAGCATTTCTTCTTCCTCCATCAGCCTGCCTTCCTCATCTCCTTGCTCTTTGTCATCTTCCTGATTCTCTTCAGTCTCTTCTTCACCTTCATTCTCACTGTCTCTTTCACTTTCTTGCTCGTTATCTTTTTCCTCTTCATCTTCATCTCTTTCTACTGAAACTTCATCTCTATCTTTTTCAACCTCACTCTCTTCTTCTTTCTCCCCTAGTTCCCCTTCGCTGTCAACTGTTTCATCTAGTTGGTTTTTTTTACTTTCACCATTTTCACTGCTTTCACTCTCCTGCTCTTGACTAGATTCCTCCTCATTCCTAATTTCTAACTGCCTGTCTTCATCAGATTTAGCTTCAGAGTTTGTTTCTTCCTCATTCAGGCTTTTTATATCAGAATTTACACGTTCTTTCTCATTGTTTATAGATTGCATCTCCTCAATCTCACTGTCTTCTTTTTTTAAGTCTAAATTTTTCACTTTTTCTACCGTTTTCATTGCCTTCTGGAACTTTGTACCTTCATAGTAGTCCTCTTCTTTTTCCCTGCTCTTAAGTACGTATTTCGCAAGATCATTACTACTTTCCTCAGTTGAAGATGACGACATAGTTACAGCTATTTGTTTCAAAAATTGATCCTTTTTTTTAAACCCTCCCTGCTCTTCTCTACCTTCTTCTCCTCGGATGCATATTCTTTCACATTTATCAGATTTTTCATTAACATCCTTTATTTTGTTACGACTTTCTATTGCTTCTGGACTTCTTTGCTTTTTAACAGGATTGTATTTTTGTACAATTAATGAATCAGTCTGGGGCAGATCCCTGGATGCAGAAGGAAGTACATTTATTTTAAGGGACTGCTTAGATTTAACAGCTTTTGACTTTTTATTGGAAGAATTTGGTTTTTCAGTCAGAATTTGTTTTTCAGTGGGAAGATGATAAGTTACATCCTCTCGGACAAATTCAGGATTTTCCACATATTCTTCTTCCCTTTTCTTCTTCCCTAATCTGCATTTGTCCCTAGTAATTTGTTGAACACCCCTTTTCACAGTACTAACACTTTGTGCATGCTCAGATTGACCTTTCATTGGGGTTTTTTTGGCCACAGGCTTCCCTACGAAGGCACTACTTTTTTCTAAATCTTGTCCCAGTGACTCTGAAAGCGAAGTCTGCTTTTGTAAAGAGCCAGAGTCTAATTTTGACCCCTCCTTCATGAAATCAGAATCCTTTGTTTTCAGCCCACCCTTACCATCTCTTTTCAGTTTCACATTTTTATTGTTCTTCTATTCCACACGAGAAGCAGAAAATTAAAAAGAAAGAAGGAAAGCATTAAGGACAAATGACAGCAAAATAAAAGGTTACAAAAACAGAAACAATTTGTATGAGGGAACTAAGAGATAGCATAAAAGGTAGAGTATTTCACATGAAATGAACTTATAAGTGCACATATTGGAAGAATGTAACATTCAGTTGATTGTAAATGCCTTTTGCACTATCCAAGCTCTCAAAGTGAATGCAGTAAGAACTGTACAGCCACTATCACATCCCATAACCTAGAGCACATGCAATGTGTGAGGCTGTGCGAACAGAAGGAAAGACTACAGTTCCCTTACACCTTCATCCACCTTTCCCCGTGGGAAATCTTCCGATACACTCACTGTTCTGCTCTTTCTAGTAAGTCTGAAAATGTATTGTCTTTCTGCTTTAAAAAACAAATTCTGCAAAAAAATTTTTTAAATATTAAATTTAATGAAATATATCAAAATGCTGAAATGCTGGGTTTACTTTAGGAGTGAAATAGAAAGATAATACAGAAGTATTTTAATTTCATAATTGAAATCAGTATTATTGCTCCTTTAAATATATTCCATTGTGATTATCTGTAAATAAAATCTTTACTTAGTGTGCCAAAAGTCAATAAAAATATTTTAATATCAACTAACCAGTAGAAATGTATGTTATCAGCTTAAGTTGCAAAGTGTATATGATAGTCTCTTGCTCCTTAAACTGGTGAAGTGTTATATACTCCTTCCTCAAACTATGCTGCATATAAGGAGTTCTATGTGCCTGCACAAATTCTAACTTCAGTCAGCTTCTTCGAATTTTACCTCGTGGATATTCAGAAAATTAGCAAGAGGAGGCCTATAAAATTTGCCTAGTTTTTCTACAACTCAAAAAAACCCATGAAGTTCAAGGATAATACAAGAATTGTAAAACTTTTAAACATCAGTATAAGTATCACATATATATAATTAGTTACAGTACCTTTTGTTTTTGGACTGGTGATAATTTTAAAGACTTGTCACTGGGATTCAATTTCATCGCATGTGTCTGCAAAAAATAAGATCTCTATTAAAAAAATAAATACAACTAATAGGAAAAGCAGTATCAACGCCTAGTCATAAACAGAGCTATTATATGAACATTTCAATATTATTGCAGTCAGGTTGAGACAAATCTGTGTGCTCACTCATCTATTTCCCTTCCACTCCCTCATTTACTGCTTATAAAGAGAGAGAGTGGTAACCAGCTTAGTTGTCAACACTAACCCTCTGCAGAGACCGAAATCTACATGGCCTCTCTTACAGCCCATAAGTACATTTTAGATCCACCTTCCACTCATTGTGAAGTTGTGGCTACAAACATAACACCTTACTCCCTCATCATCACAACCTTCAACTTAACATCGAGTTTGATACCACAGCCTTGAAAGAACAGGTGCAAAGAAACATTACATAGCAGGAATCTTCATCGGAATCTAATGCCTTTACCTCTTCTACACAAGCAAAAACCCAAAAGGCAAGGCAATGTAGAATACTACTAGGTGGGCAAGTATAGTGAGATTTTGGTCACCCCATCCCATATACTCCAAACGACAAGATGGTAATGTTCGCTGCTGCTGTTTGTTAACTGCTTATGGTTTAACCACCATTTTGTTTTTCAACACAGTGAGCATGGCCAGTTCTGGTTTCTGACTCCCAAGAATTTGTATCATCAATACCATATTAAAGACATTTCCTCCTCTTGTCACATTTTTCAATAAGCTGCATGTTGCCACAGTTCAGAAAAACTGAAACAGCTATGCTGTAACAGATTATTTTCATTCAGACTCAGGAAGAGCAATCATTTTTCTTTGTATTTTAACAAGTTTGCCTGATAGATTTTTTTCAAATGTACTGTTTCATTCTGATAAATGTTTTAAAATTGATTCACAAGGGGCACAAAAACAAAATGGAGAAGAAAGTCAAGCACAAAAAGTGTGCAATATGTTACAAATAAAGCCTCAGTAAATTGATGAAGGCCACATTGTGCATCATATCCGAAAACAATTTTTTTCTTGGAAATGAAAATTAAGTTTTATAACTGTTAAATAAATGGTATGCACAAACAGATTGTTAAATGCCGAGTACTGTTAAGCACAAACAAGTAATGATTCCATTAAAAGCTGCAATCCCTTCAATATAATTGACAGTGTATCCTGAGCTGAGTCCACAGTGAGCTGCTCATTTGTTTCCATTCCATTGAAGTTAAAAAAAAGGACATAAACCAATACTCCTTCCAGTGCACTGCATTACGGCCAGGACATGCCCTATCTGCCAAGAGAACAAAATATTTTGGAAAGGTGCACATGTGATAAGGTGAACATATTTTTTAAATAAAAGAAGTAAGTAGGAACATGCTTGGGGATCACCAAATAATCAAAATGCCTGCATTTTGGTCTTCCCTTTAATGTGATCTAACTGCACTAAAAAAGCTCTTCTAGAAACAGGAAAAGACAGCTCTCTGGTTCATTTCCTACAGTTCTCTGTCTTGGAAATTATCAAGATGAGAAAGGTCAGAGACAGAGATCACCACGTGGTATCCAGCATCCTTCTCCTTTTCTTTCCGATATCCAGAGCTAAAGCATGGGGAGTGGCTGCACTACTTGGACTGCTTCAATCTCATATTACAGCATTACTTGGAAAATGAAAACAAACTTTAGCATTGGATAATGATGAGACAAAATGCATGCTCATTTAACAGTATGTCAGTAATTCTTGATGCCGCATAATGTTACTTATGACGTTCTGGGCTAGAACTTGAACTAGAACTTGAAACATTATTTAGCTGCTTCATTCTTCCCCTGCATAAAAACGATTGAATCACAGATTCATTAGTGGAATATATTACCATATTTAGGATGTCAGTTGTATCTCCGAGGTTTCTGTCATTATTTTCATCATCTGAATCTTCTTCTGAAGAGTCTTCACCAGGTTTATCTTTTTGATGATTCTTTTCTTAAGGTAAAATAGGGGGAAGTAAACAAATATCATAGGAACAAGCAATATACAGCAAACAGAACACCCCACTCTTGTAAAATGACTATCTCTATTTCACTGACATAGGACTGAAGTCCTGAGATTCCTCATTCCCCTACCCTAAGACACAGCAGAATCACTTCCACCTTCTTTTCATCAATATTAACATTAGAGGTAGCTCAGCAATCTGGCCTCAGTGCACTGTACATCTCTGACCATTTTTGCAGGCTTTCAAAGCATATCTATTACATGGGACAAAGCTTCTTTTGGATACTATTTTAATAATAGTGTACCAATTAGACTAAATTAGCTGCAGTCATGTTACCTACATTATCTACGTAATGGATGGAGAGACAGTGAGTTTAACTCTAAGGCAGCATCATAAAAATGTACCTGCACAAGTTTCAGGTTCATCGCAAGTTCATCAGGTATATGATCAGTTTCACTGGGCACAAAACCTGAGGTTTCAGGCCTCAGAAGACTCCAAAGGCATTTTAAATTTCACTGCACTGCTTTCCTGGAACCAGAAATGCTAATAGACGTGCTGGCAGCTTTACAAATAATCATCTTAATTCTAACTGAATTAATTACTTTCAAATTGGATTTGACTGTCCAATAAATCCCAGCTAACTTATACACAGAAGCACTGCATTCTGCACTCTTCTGCATTGCTCTTCCCAGGAAATCACACATGCCCAGGAACCCAGATGAAGTCCAGAACTGCTCTAAAGAATCTGTGCAGAAGTCCAGCACTGTATCAGTACCACTGTTACCCAGGCTTTCGCATTATCTAGAATACTGCAAATCCTTATTATCTTAGATAACAGAGAGTGAAGAGTACTTTTGCATTTCCAAGTGAAGAAGAAAGCTCCTATAAGAATTAGTAGACCTCTTTACTTATTCAAGGTCTCTTGCAGGCCTTCCTGTGTCTTTACAATTGTTCCTAATTTTTTTTTGCAATTCTTTTTTTTCATGAAAATGGAGAAAGTGGTTACTAATCTTACACTATTTTTGTGAAGTCGTATTTCTACAGGCTTGGGGAACTTCAGGTACAATTCAGAAGTTGTTTTCTTTCACTCAACCCTTCTCTAAATCTCTAAGCACATTTTCCGAACATGAACCAAGAGTAAGGCCATTTCTTGCATGCATTTTTCAACTTTCGTGCCTGTGTTCTGCCAGACCCTCCTGAGATAAGACTGAACTTGAAACTTCTTTCATGTTCAAACTGATCATTTGTTTATGAATGAGGAGAGCCAAACCACACAACTCTCAGAAAACAGAAACAAGATGTGGGGACACTTCACCTTTTTCAAGGTCTGTATCCTTCGAAGGTTCACCTTTAGGAAGACTTGTTGCAGAAAAGCAGAGTGGGCTAGTGTTGCTAGTCACAGGCAACGAAGATTTTAAGAAGCTTTCTCCCAGTGGAGGCAGAGTTTGTGCCAGTCGACCAATGTATTTTGGTGACTTTTCCTTTAGAAGATTAAAAAAAAAAAAATTGAGAATAAGAGTAGAAGAATAAAATGTAAGCAATCTCACATACTTCACAGTAGTATTTCCCTTTAGTTGACGATACAGTGTTCCAACTTTGAAGGCAAAGCATAAACAAAATTTCTTGAATATTTTAATTATTTATAAAAAGTGGAGAGATGCAGTGATTTGTATTTAAAATGAAAATACTACTTTCTCAAATAACACTGAGTTACTTAATCCACTACATCAATATATTTTTACAAAATAAACGTGGTTTTGTGGTAGAGTTAGTTTTCAGACAGGTAAGTGAAATGATCCAATTCACTGTGCTGCTAAAAAAACCACACTGAATGTGTAATGGAGATAAAGGAGAAAAAACTATTTCAAGCAGCTACAGGATCTTAGGATCATTTTAAGCTGATTGTGAAACTTTCCCCTTTGATATTTTATAAACTAAGAACGTATTTAATCTATTCAAGGACTCAGAGGAAACACACAAAAAATGTTCTTGTTCTTTTTTTTTCATATTTCTAAGATATTTTTAAAAATGCAAAGGAACAGGCTCAATATTTTAGAGTAAAAAAATACAAAACTAATCTGGGTCTTTTTCATAGAACAAGTAAAATCTGACCACTGCCTATCTTTTATCGGCATCCATTTTGGGACCAGAGTAGACATTCATTCTTTTTTTATACATTAAATTTCAACACATATTTTAAGGATTTATATTTATCTGCTGAGTATATGCTGTGATTTTAATCTAAGAAGTTATTTTGTTTCCTAAAACCAGTATGGCAACTCTAAACAGCTCTGAATTTACCCTTTCTCGACGACGCATTCGTGCCGATGTTAGTTGTAAGGTGTTTGTCAGTAGTGTGTTTCCACTCGTTTTAGAGACAGTAGCAGTCAAACAGCTCTCATATAAATCGTCTAAGAGTATTTCTTCAGATCCTTTAGGTCTTGGAGCAGCAAAAACTAGCATGTGACAACCACCACAAGCAACCTACAGCACCAAAAAAGGTCTGCTTATTTCATTTGCAATTATAAATACAAGGATCTCATTTTGTTACGATTATCTCTAGGGGCTTGTATTATAAGAAAAACATAATAAATGTAAGAGATGTTAAATTACTTTAAATTTAGCTCCTAATGATGTTAGCCAAGTAAAAGTACATAATTATAGTTATTAATGACTAGTGATCTATGTTCATTTCTTCTTACTTAAATACAACATATTTCTATTGAACAGAACACAAGGTAGGTCTATCAAATTATTGATACAGAAGGTGGTAAAGGTATTTCCACTGATTTTGAAGGGATTGGAGCTAATTATTTTGATGTAAGTCAAATGTGAGAAATACTGCTAACTTCAGTGATACAAACCTAGATATTTTATCACAAAATCCGTAAAATGTAATGCAAAGGCCTACACCCTCCCAGTAGACAAAGTATAAATACATAAAGATCAGAGGTTTCACTTTCTAAAAAGTTTAAACCCCCTACCACTTCTGATAAAATTTCCTTAAACTCTAAGTCCAGTAAACAAAGAGAAGTGAGCCACAGACTTTTGTCCCAAATTTTGCACAATTTAGAGTCATGTTTGCATTTCTGATGCTGGCAATTCTGTGACATTTATTTCTTCAACACCTCAGGAAACAGATGGAAACAATGCCCTTAGAATAAAAAAGTATTTCTCCTTTCTCATTCCATTTGGATTAAAAAAAAAAACATCTCAAATTTTCTTAAGATTTAATTTATATCCCACTGTACAAATAATCGTTAAAACTAAAAACATCTCTCTCGTGTTTTCAGAACATATATTAGTTCCCCCCTACTGCCAACAATCTAAGAGCAATAAATATTTAATTTTATAGGCTGCTACCAACTCTATAGACCAAAAAACTATAGCACAACACTACTGAATAAAAACCTAAAAAGCAGTCTGTATGTGTAGTCCAAGCCAAGTACATTCTAAACTAAATGAAGTGTGAAATATAATTTCCTTGTTCTTTCAATTTGTGTTGTCTACTAATTAGATGTTATAGACAATAATAATTCTGTAATGAGATTTCAACTCATTAATAACATTTCATAAAAATAGAAACATTTTGATGTCTGATAATCATGAACAAAAGTTTTACCAAAAGGACTGTGAAACTCAAGAAATTATAACACAGAGTGGGATCAAACTGATTTGTAAAACTCTCTTCTCCAAGTCCTAACTTGCCGTGTCGCCCATCTCCAAAAGTAAACATGAGGCCATTCTCTGTATATAGAAAAAAAAAAAAAGGAAGTGATCAATAACAAAGATTCAGTACAAAACCATTACAAAGTAACAGGCTATGCAAGTGAGGAATACTTCTCTTCCTAAAGCAACACCTGAACAATTATTTTCGTATTTTCAGACAAAGTACTGTCAGAGATTAGAGTTATTCTAGACAGTTTTGGAAAAAAAACCAACAACAAAACACTTGAAATTGTATGGCAAAAAAAAGGGTTCTAAACAAGAATACTTGTTAGCAAGGCATGATTATAAGGTAAAAATTCCCCACGTACAGAACTACGCATGGCATAGCTGTGCATCAGAAATTCCTAACATCAAATCTGGCTTTCTCACTAGCTCACTTAACCTTCAGAAAAGTAAGTCTGCACATGCCTTCTGCTACTACTCCTTTTAAAAAGAAAGCTTTTATAGTATAATAAGAGAGTGACTGGAAGTGCATTTCAGAATTTTTCACTTACATACCTGCAATTACAGCAGTATGATTTTCCCCACATGTAATGTTACATATTTTATGCCTCCTCAAGTGTTTCACAGACTTTGGTACTGAAGTTTCAAAAATAAAAGTACCATGTCCCAGCTGCCCATATTGTCCAAGTCCAAAAGTATATACATCTGTCTCTGAAAATGTACGGGCAAAGTTAACAACAAATATGCAGATATATTCATTATAACCTTCTTTCTATTACCAAGTGAAAGTCAAATTACATCAGCATCAAAAAAGCAATGTTATATCAATTTAAAAATGTAACAACTAATCAATTAAATTTATCAATTAAGAACAAAACAAAACAAAATAAAACACAGGCAATTAAGCAGTAAAATATATACAGAAAAGAATTCTGAATGGTTCAATATGCAATGTATTTTCTAACACAACCACAAAATAATGCACTGATCACATATACACAAAATAGCAGCTGACAAAAAATTTATGGGACTTTACATACTGCAAATTAATTTGAGACCACAGTGTTTACCTATATGTACATTTTCAAGTGGAATAGTCTCATCCAAATTTCTGGTTATCTGCATGTACACTGTATAACCCTAAATTTAATAGACTAGACCTCTTTAAGCAAATACTAAATAGTGTGTAAGAACAGACTGGAACAATAACAGAACAGATTTCAGTATTCTGTTTGGCTACTAAATCAGTCTGCATTAAATACAGAGAACACTATAACTGTGTTATCTTGTGACAAAATAATCATCTTTCCACATTTATATTTTGTCCATTTAATGCACTGCCTGTGCCAGGAAAAAGCATGAGAGCTTCTCCCAAGCAATAAAGATTCTTGTGTGTCCATCCTTGGCAATCCATCACAACAGTGGAAGACTGTGAAGCTTGGAAATCTTGATGAGATCATGCTTTAAAAGGGAAATTTAAAGACTAAGGAGAAGTTTTCCTGGAATTTTCTTCTCTGCTCCTTTTTCTTCTGGATGTAGAATCACAGAATCATAGAATGGCAAGGGTTGGAAGGGACTTTAAAGATCGTCTAGTTCCAACCCCCCTGCCATGAGCAGGGACATCTTCCACTAGACCAGGTTGCTCAGAGCTCCATCCAACCTGGCCTTGAACACTGCCAGGGAGGGGACAGCCACAGCTTCTCTGGGCAACCCGTTCCAGTGTTTCACCACCCTCATGGTGAAGAATTTCTTCCTAATATCTGATCTAAATCTGCCCTCTTTTAGTTTAGAGCCATTCCCCCTTGTCCTATCACTACACACCCTTGTGAAAAGTCCCTCTGCATCCTTCCTGTAGGCCCCCTTCAGGTACTGGAAGGCTACTATAAGGTCACCCCAGAGCCTGCTCTTCTCCAGGCTGAACAGCCCCAACTCCCTCAGCCTGTCCTCGTAGGAGAGGTGCTCCAGCCCTCGGATCATCTTCGTGGCCCTCCTCTGGACCTGCTCCAACACATACATGTCTTTCTTATGTTGAGGGTTCCAGAGCTGGACACAGTACTCCAGGTAGAGTCTCACAAGAGTGGAGTAAAGGGGCAGAGTCACCTCCCTCGACCTGCTGGCCATGCTCCTCTTGATGCAGCCCAGGATACGGTTGGCTTTCTGGGCTGCAAGAGTACATTGTTGTGTCATGTTGAGCTTCTCATTCACCAGTACCCCCAAGTTCTTCTCCTCAGGGCTGCTCATACTAATTAGAGCTTGAAAAATTGTTATGAAAACCTGCGAAAGATCGAGAAGGACAAAAAATATGCTATGTGAAGGGAAAAGAACTGAGACTTTGGAGCAATATATTGTTACATCATTGTCATGAACATGGTGCAGAGCATGCCTGTTCCTGCTGCACAGATGCCATCAGGTCAAAAATCTCACTACCTTCAAAAGCAAGAGAGGAATGGGTATCCACAGCTGAATGTGTGGAGCGACAATTGATGGAGAATCTTTGCTTTTTGACCACTTCTTTGTGTCAAGGAAACACGGTCACTGGAACAGCAAAGTAAGTTTCAGTGCCATATAAGTAGTTTATACTGTGCGACCAAATTCTCAGAGCAGCCACAAACTGGAGAAATATTAAAAACAAATTATGTTACCATTCCCTCAAACTAATCCTTCACCACTATCAGGGAAAGAAAAAGCAGAGAACAGACCAGATTCCATATTACTACCATAGCACACTTATCAACTCACATTGAACTTTCCGATTTCAAAGGAACCATCATGAAATACTGTTAACACTATGTATGGAAATGTTCATTCTAGGAAAGAGTTTGCCCTTTCTGCCCCTTTTAAATAGTTCCATATTACGATGTCATGAATTCACTCCATAAAATAAACCCAATGGTCTCACACTTTTTCAGACTGTAGATGAGAAATGTTCAGTAAAGCTGGGGTTTTTTCCTAAACGTAATAGTAAAGCTCCCTCTCCTGGCAGTTTCAGGAAGGAATTTGTAAGAAAGCAACACCACCTCAGGATCTTCAAAAAGTAAAACAACTAAGAAATTTTCTGTAATATTTACACTTTCTGCATAAGAATCAAGAAACTACTCCAGAAAGAAAGGAGCTTTCTCCAAGTGAAGCACATCTCATCTTCATTTTAGTAAATGGCTTTCTCATTTAGTAAATGTCTTATTCCATAAATTCTGTTTAAAAGTAATGCATTTGTCTTAACATTTCTTTGGAAACTTGCTGGTTTTGTCATTTTCAAACTATATGGCTTTATCTGATTAACATAATTATTTTGTGTGATGGTGGAGTTTTTCATATTATCTTTAATCCTAGCTTGAAATATGCAATGCCTTTGTCATAAAATGCGTACGACCTCTAAAGACATTTGTCTTTAAAGGGAGATGTTCTCAAACTATAACTTTAGAAGTACAGGAAGTTATTTTCTTTCCCCAATTTCCAGTGACAAAGAGGAGAATGGGCCAATCCAAAACCAGGTTAAAGTGCCTTTATAAGAAGAAGGATTTTTTCTACTGCCCCTATAGAGCAGGGGCACCTAAATTTTGCTCCTCCTAAAATTCGCTTATTAGTCAGTTATCAAGACATAGGAAGACAAAAACGTGGCACCTTTCTTAAATGATTCAACACTCCGGTGCAGAAGTGAGGCCAAACCTCAGTAACAATCCCATTCAGCAGAAATCAGATATTTCCTCCAATTTGTCTTTATAAATACATGGAAAGAGAAGTCTTTGGCAAAGCAACCTCATAGACTTTGCGATAAAATGTCAGAGGTGAATTTCATCATTCAGAGCTTGAATTTGCAAATTAATTTGCTGACAGCATGGATCCAAAAATGGATACAGCCCCACTGTCACCTCCTTACTGTCCTCAGTCCCAGTAATGCCATGGTTGGATGAGACAAATGAAACGTGCTGCCAGCAAAAGGGCAGATCTCGCTCCCCCGTTCGCTTTCTTCAGTCCCTTCCTGCACTGCCTCTGCTGTCCACCCGGCTACGTGGGGAGCCAGCTCAGCTCCATAAGCCAGGTTTTGGGGGGTTTTGCTGATAATCCTGTGGAATGGTCAAGGCAGGCAGCACTAGAGTGGTACAAGTGGAGAGGACAGACATCTGGCCGCAGCAGCACAAGGAAAGCTGCGCTGCCTCCAGTGCGTCAGTGCATCACTAGGAGGGCTCAGCCATACCAACAGCACCCAAGAGAAACTGAACACAGGTCCCACCTTGGCCTCGATGAAGGACCTGCTGCCTCCTCAGCAGCAGCCCATGAGAAGGGCCCTTGAAGGACAAAGAGAATTAGTTTCAGAGCTTGCACAGAAGCCAATGGCTTCACTGTTCCAAGTGACCTCCAGCCCTTGCGTGCTGGAACTGCTTCTCCTTTACTTCCTAGATTTCCTTCTTTGGAAGAACAGGGATATCTCCCTGTAACTGCCTATCTTCCACCTTCACAGGCATCTTCCGGAACACATAACAGTTCTTTAATTCCATGACCGTTGTCACTGTAAATAAAATAGTCCTAAGCAAAAATCTATATAGCTTTCAGGGTTTTGTTTAACACATGTTATTTGCTGAAAGAACTGAGTGAGCTCCAAGAGTGTTTTTAAGATTCATGCATTCCTTGCTATGTATTTAAGGCTATAGACAAGTTAAAAATCCACAGAAGAAAATCAGAAACAAGACAGGTACGTTTATATCTCTCCACACAGATTCATTTCCTTTGAACATCATCACCACCATTGTTATTATTATGACTACTACTACTATTATGCCAATGGACTATTCACTCTTACTATGGCTTTATTCTTAAACAGGTTATGCTGAAAAATGTTGCTGTAAAAATCAGCTTTCGACACAATACTCAGTTTTACGAGAGCTAGTAATTGGACTTGGGAATTTCAGTATAAATAGTATACAGACTTAAGAATGGTTTGAGAAATCTAGATATGATTTGAACAGTCAGTTCTGTCAAGAAAAGATCGAGCATTTTCATCCTTTTCATTCTCTGTCAAAGGGGTATCTTGACTTTCTTTTCTTTTTAAAAGACCTTGAGACAGAAGATGAAAAATCCAACATTTTACACACGAATGCACTAATGTGCTGTACTGTTACGTCAAACAATCTGTTCTCGAAGGACTGCTTCACTTTTTCCTTTGAAGAGTATCTTTGCTTTCCCTCCCTTCAGAGAATAAAAAGAGGTAATATCTCCTTTTATAAAGAGGATTATTCCCAGAGGATCTGTCATCATCTGAAAAAATGGAAGATACTAAGGCCACTCCCAATCATGTGTTTCTTCTCCAATTTCTAGATTCACAAGCTATTGTTATTCTACTTTTTTAAAAGCTTTATTCAAAAAGTACGCAAACTGGGATTGCTGCTCTCTTATATTTCTTTTGAAAGTGATGACACCAACAGCTTTCATTTTCAGTGGGAAGCATTTGGCAAGCATTGTGGCTAGTGGAAGTATTTTTTTAAGTCTCTGAGAGAAGTCATCTGGGATGAGGATATGAGCTTCTTGAACCGGCTGACAGACTGTCATGAAATGAGTCAGTCTGTGCTGCTACGGTGAGAGAAAGCTTTTGCATGATAGAATTTTTAACTGCAATTCTGTTTATTCTCTAGAACAACTGCAAATATTAAAGGCAGAAGTAACAATAAGACTCATAAAGAAAATGGTTTCCAATACCATATTCAAAATTTATAAAACTTAAAAAAATTTTTTAAAAAAAGTTTGTTTTCTAATCATTGCTCTCAACAGTTTTTTTGTTCTCTGTGAAGAAAATTGAGTTTCCCATTTTGGAGTTTCAGAGAAAAATAGTGAATCATTTTAATATATACTTTCTACCATTTACTCTGATACTTGCTGGAGAGATTCCAAACCGTAGTTTAATTACCCAGATAACAGTGGTTCTTACCATACAAAAGTGCCAGTAGAATAGATAAGACAGTCATAAAAAAGAAATCAAATTAAATACTTTGGAATAGACTAATTATGTATGAGAGTCAGGAAGAAACTTGCCTCGTACTCAGTAAGATAACCGGATTGTGCTTTCTTCTAATTTGATAAACCCTAAGTAGAACCGATGACAAGAAATGAGCCAAGATGTGCAACAGCTTCTCCATACGACATTTTCTCCTACCCTATTCCTATGTTAAACAAGATAGATGAAACAGGGGAATATACAATAGTCAGACACTCACTTCTTATTTTTTAAGACTGAAATGACACACTCTGAAAAACTGGAAAGACCCTGAAAAGATGAAAACTGTATCAGTGTATATTGTCTTACTAAAGCTAAACAGCACTCATTTTCACGGGAGTTGATACATGAAATTCAGAATTTCTTCAAAATTGTACAACGTTCTTAATTTAGGAAAATGAGCTTAAAAGATGTGTAAATATTTCTGCTCCTCTCTAAAGATATATCCCTCATCAGAATTCTCAATTAGTGGTCACGCCACTTCATCATCTCAAGACGCAATATACACTTCAGTACTGATTTTAAGTGAAGTTTCTGGTGCAAAGCCTATAATGCATGAATGCTACACTCACTTTCTAAATGATTACAGTATCCAAAACTATCTCTTTTCCCAATCTTTTTCCCAAGTTTTGTTTTGAGTCAGAAAATTTTCTGTATGTCAACACTCCTGACGAAGTATCTTTCACTTGAGGCAATATTTCCATTATCCTCTACTCTTTTGTTCCAAGTGTCTTAGGCAGAAGTCCATACCTGTAGCCTATTTAATAGTAGCTGAGTGACATTAACAAATATCTATCTGATCTTTCACTCTTATCACAACAACTATTACTCTTCAGGAAAATGTACTTTGTTGGAGGATATTGTTCTCCTCCTGACTCAGCTGGATCTTCTGGCACTCAGCACTTTGATCATCAACTGCCAGCTAAGCCAGCACTGAATTTCCTATTTGCCTTCTACTACAAAATCTATTTCCACAGGCAAGTAAATCTTACATACTAAGACACTGACTTACTATAGTGTTTTCTTCACTGGTTTTTTTTTTGGAGTTTATATTTTGCCTTTTTGTTCTAGCTCTTGGACAGACTTGACTATAATGCTGATGTCCAGGTCTACATCCTTCTACTAAATCTCTGTAACAGTCATTTGTTACAATGAAATTTTATCACATGAAGTACCATTAAAGCAAAAAATCTATTGGTTGGCTTCAGATTTATGGTTAAAAAAAATCAATAATGATAATCAAATTCTTCTGCAGAACTTCACTTTATAACCCATAAAATAATGCTACGATTTATACATTTGCTGGTTCTAAATTTATAGTAATTTTTTTCATAATAATGACAATCTGATTTCATGCAAAGAAATTTATTTTATGACATAGAACACTGCCAGGGTAAGACTGTATGTTGGTGGAAGAAGAGAGACAAAGGCATTGAAATGTAGACAAATGTTTGCATTATTTCTGGCATTGGCTACTGTTATTTCCTCTTCACAGTCTTCCCAAAGGAGTTTTAACCTACCCAGAATCTTGCAGCTTGACTCATCATTACAAATAACCTTTCCCAGCACATCACTTCCACCTGTACTCTCTCCAGTGGCTTGCAGTACAATACCACATCATATCACTTACAATTTCAGTTAGATTTTCAATTTCTATTTTAGAAATTTTGGTTACATAACCTTGAAGGCACTCCACCAGATTGACAAGAGATGACTTCAGGATTTTCAAAATACAGATTTAAGGACTGATATCTATACGTCCTACTTCTTTTTATAGCTTTTGCATTTTGGTAGGAGATTAATTACAGGCATATTATACAACTGCGGAATTCATTACAAGCCAAAGCTGGTATTTTTCAAATCATCTGTAGGCAAAGTCAAACTCCCCTTTCTTGCTTCTATAGTACTACAGTTCAGGAGAGAACTTGTGGAAATAAACAGTCAGCAATGCTTTGCCTATATCTCTTTGAAAAGCTAATTCACCATTGGGACACAACTGTTTAATGGTGCAGTAATATACACCATATTCCATCTTTCAAGTACTATACATACAATACTGTGAACTAGTCTATAACAGTTTTATTTGCTTATTTTTATAACTTGTATGATATGTTGAATGCCTATATCTGTACTAATTTTATACATACGTTAAAGATTCTGCTTAAAGTCACAGGCAAATTTTGTATCACAAAAGAGATATTTAATCCATTTAGGCATCCAGTAGATTGTGCATCTCTATCACTATTAACAGACAGCTGCTTGAAAAGTGACTTCCTAAACACATTCCTAAATATCCAGCGTCATTTAAATTTACTACAGAATGGAAGCATTCCTCTAAAATTTCCCCCCAACACGCACGCCAATACCACTTTCAAGCTCCTGAGAGAAAAGAAACATCGATCATCTGCGTTGTGCTAGGAGGTGCTGGCTTGTTACAATCCCAGTAAGAAAGTCACTCAAACTCAGTAAAGTATCTCTTAAACTCCTATTTATTGGAGCTAATATTATAAAGAAAAAGAAGACAGTATCAATAATCTTACATCCCTTCAGATGCTGGGAATCCTGAGCTGTGTGGAACGGAACAGGCCTCCAGCCAGGCACAGCATGCTACGCAGACCCCATCCATGGAAGGTTACCCCATTTTGGTCATTTGAGCTCTTATAGGATTTTCTTACAAGCAAAACAACTCTATTTATCATTTATACTGTCAGATAGGAAGGACATTCACAGGGGAACTTGCCGGTGAGGTTTTAGATAAAGGTAAGGACACGCAGGTAGTGTAACCACCAAGTAACCAAGTAGGAGCTGCTTGTAAGCTCCTTTGTTAGAATTAGCTGGTGAAGTTAGTCCTGAGCAGAGAGATATGTGCAGTACAGGCCTGAACGTCAAACTATAGGAGCAGCACAGCACAGCACAGGTCAGCACTTAGGTTACTGTTACATGGATTTCTACCTCCTTGGTGTACAACAGTCTTCCAGTTAGGAACACTATAGCATCTCACATTCCAGTGAGATGTAAATTCTTTAAACTGAGTTTACTGATAAAGTTATAGGGCTGTAAAAAAAGCCAGTTAACTGCGTACCTGTCAGCACCACTGTGTGTTCTCCACCACAAGCAACCTTATTAACCTTTTCCGTAATTCCCAGTACAGGCTGTGGGACTCTATTGTTCTTCAGCTGTTCAGGCAATAATCCAAGTTTCCCATTCTCAGGTTCTCCAAAAGTATAGAGCTCACCATCTCCTGTGAAAATACAGAGCAGAGCAGGATTTCCAGCATGCACTCAGAAGCACGGATGGGTTGTCAAGACTGCTGCAGACACAAATCAGTAAGATAGAAAAATGTACGAACATTACAGGATAATTGAACATATTTGTATAATGTCCAAAGAGCTGTGCAAAGCAGCCTGCTTTGATGGGACAAGGGGCTAAATTTTAGCCCCTCTCCAAGATGAGGACTGCATAATTTAGCCTGCAAGGAATCTAGATGAGGGAAAAAAAACCCCATACATATCCTGCTTCTGAGAGGTTATAATTCCCTCTGTAATCAGTGTTTATGTCAACTGAAGTTGCTTGGAAGAAGCTCAGTTAAAAAAGAAAATCGTTTTGCATGGAATTTTGATGGAAAAGCCACACTTTCTTCTTGAAGATGGAGAGAAAAAAAGAAAAAGCAGAGTAAATGATATGAAGCTGTGTGTAGTCTGGACAGCAAGAAGAGAGCTATATATCCAACAACAGGAATACAGCAGTGGTTGCATAGCAATAACTCCACCAGAATTAAGTTCAAAAAAATACTGAGAGGTCTTCATAGATCTCTTCCTGTAACTTCTTTCTGATCTGCTACATAATCATACCACAAGACCCTTCTCATTCACCCAGAATTTTTAAGAATCCAGTTCAACAACTGTTCAACCACCAATTTGGGTGACTTATTTTACTTTCAAGTGTGCTTTGTTTTTTCTTTCCAATCACTCCCTTCGCTTTCTCACTGCCATTCAAGACAGCATTCTATGTATCCCTCTACCATAGTTAAAAATGGAACATGTAAAATGTACTTCTTTTTTTACAGTTTAACTACATTTATCTACTTTTTTTATATTTATCTGCATTTTACATTTACCTGCATCCTTTTCTTCCAATTTATCTACATTTCTGATTTTCCATGCTAAGGGGCCCCCAACTATTCTAATAGGTCAGAATGAGGTCTAGGTAGAGTATCTGCAGAGTAGTGTCCTCATAGCAAATTGTGGCCCACAATCTGAATTTGAAATTACCTACCAAAAAGATCATCATACACTATTATGTAAGAATAAGTTTGGTTTTTAATTACAGTTGGATATTACTAAGCAGAAGGATAAAAAAAATCTCTCACACGGAGCTAGTCCAAGATAAAGAAATGTTTAAAATAGCGTAGGAGCTGTCTGTAAAGGAAATTCAAAGAGATAGCTACAGTTCCATAATCAAAATAATAACTAACCTCAGACATATACTCCATTATTAAAGCTCAGTCATCAGAAGCACCCACCTACAATAGTTTTGGAAACATGCAGATTTGTTCTTCAGTACAAAATGTACTTTTACTTTCAGAGGGATACATTTAGTGTTCACAAATTTACTTTTACAGCGTTTAGAGGCATTACTATTGCACAACGCACAACTATCAGAGAGATTCTTATTCAAAAGCCATTAATTGCATGCCAACATGAAGTTGGGTTAACATTAGAAATACTGGTCTTTCTCCATAGACAGTGAAAACAGATGAGCTCAAAGAAAGTTTCAAAGCTGAAGCCTTAATTAGGTGTTCAGGATTGATCATTAGAAAAGTCCATCCCTCCCTCCATTGAACATAGGCAGAGCATACAAAAACAAGCTTATTACTAGTTTTTTGTTAGCCTTTGTGAATATTCCTCTGTTTGCACAGCGGCTAGATTTATCGCTTTTTCCTTGCACTTTATCAGCCACAACTTAAAATTTGGGAATTTAAGGATAACGGCAAAAACCCAATGAATAAGCCTACACAGAAACAGGAAAAAGGGAAGAGCTAAAAGTAAACCTTTGAGTAAAAATGTAAAGTTCAATAAAATGAAGCTACAATATGCATTCTCAATGACATTAGTGAAATTATTAAAACCAAGTTAATAAAAACTGAAGGTATGATTCACAACTGAAGTTTACTAAAACTAGAGCATGCCAAGCCAAGCCAGCAAAGGAATTTTATCTTTTTGAATTTTTAATTCTGATGATGAGAAATTCAGAACTGGTGTCAGTAAGAAATGTGTCATTTTTACTTAATCTTCCTAAGCTTTACTCTGGCAATACACTCATTTAAAATTTCCTTTTGTATGAATAAAAACTGAGCAAGAATTTCAGGTTGCGAAACCACATCTTCATTTTGTGTAACTATGGGACAACTAGCTAGTAATACGTTTTCATTCAAGTCATCTCCAAATCCAACAGACAAACTAGATTCAAAAATGTTTTTCCTGGAAAACTCTTTTGCCAGCAATTTTTTTTTTTTTTTTTTTAATTTTGTGGCACTTGCCTCTTGATTACTTTGTCCTAGAGTGACAACAGCAGTGGATGGATAGAGCAGAGCAGCACAGACTGCTGTTCTCAGGATCCTCCACCAGAAGGACTTTGAGTAATTTTGAAAACCCTTGAACTACTATGTCTTTTAATAAAGCAGTGCTTCTCCTCCCATCTTCTCAGAGGAATTAATTCTGCAGCAGTCACGCTCATTTGTGACGTATGTTACCTTTGGCACTGACAGTCCACAATAAGCAAAAAAAAAAAAAAGGTTTAAATCATTATGTGTTTTCTTCAAAGGAAGCCTGAGGATAGGTTTTCAATTGAATTTACCTACAGGGAAAATTTGAAGTATGTCTTCTATTTTATGGTAAAGTTCACTGAAGAAAAAAAAAAACATGAAAGAGATTAGGCATATTTTAAAATACCTTGGCTTCAAATTTTTTTGAATGCATAAATTTATCAATTAACTTCAGAATTATGAAAAAAGTATGACACACTCAAAGAGCAAAATCTGTAAAAAGCACTTTTTTTCATAAAAGTCAAATTCCTGCTTTAAATGGAAAACGGGTCCTAAGCCTCAACATAAAGTTGCAACCCAGCACTTCCACCAAAGATTTGGAACATAGCTTTGGCAGCACAATCTTTATTTGTAACGCTTACAAGACCTAAGAAATTTAGCCTCTGCCTTAGTCAGAGAAATGCCAGACTGTTTTATATGGTTTCCGTACTTTCCCAGATCACTTCTGCCTCTCGCAACAGCACAGATTCTTCAAGTACCATGCTCCTGGGCCACTAAGGCTAATACCTGGACTTTCTGTCTTTGCTGAACACTGTAACTGCACAGAGAGGCAATCAGGGAATGACAATAATACAATCTCACTCAATGTCAGGCTTGCTGCAGGGTTTCACAGGGCTCAGGCTATTAAGAGTAGCCACCCACAATCTATTCAGAGACCTACGTTCTCTTCAGCAAGGCAATGAAACACGATAGCGACTGTATTTCCCAACTATCATCATCGGAAGTGTCACCCCATCCTCCCAGCTGTCCTTATTTTTTCTATCATTCTGACATTTTCTTTCCTGCAGACACTAACTACACCAACAGTATTATAACACTTCATTTACCTGTATGTATCTGTGCAGAAATACCTTTGTTGCACTCTTCTACACTTAGAAAATTAAGAGGTGTTTTGCAGTCATTTCAACCTCTTTGTGTTTATTAAGAAACCGCAAATGATCTCAGCTGCAGAAAAGTATAATTCATTTCATTTGTAAACTATGGACTGTGTTTAGGCTTCTCTGTTCAGTTCGATTTTCTGTTTTAACTCTGATCTTTATTCTTCTACCTATGTGCAGAAATACTCTGAACAGGCTGATAGTTTGCAGTTATTCGCAGCAGCATCAATTTGCTATTCCTAAACAGTAGCCCAATTAACAACCAAAAAATCAACTGCAATGTGAGGCCTTCTGTAACCAAAACATTCCATTGACAGAAAGATATTTTATTAGGGATTCTAAGTGAAAAGAAAGGAAAAAAAACCACAAACAACAAAAAGAATCCTGTATTTTTTGGAAGGTAATTATTGTTTTAATACTCTTGGATCTGCCATATATTTCTAGAAACAAGCTGATAAACCCCCAAAAGCACTTGGGAGTTAACTACTTGCGCAGTTCTCTTTGAAGCAACCAGCACTTCTTTTTAAACACTACTGCACTGCAAATATTAATCCAATCACAATCTAATTAATAGGATTAGAGATTCAAATGGCCAAGCTTCCACTGACTTCCAAAACTAATCAACTTTACTACATTTTTTCAACTTAATAATCCAGCTAACAAAGATAAACACATTTATTAAAGCAATTTTTGAATACATTACACATCCTTTTAAGGCAAATAGTACTCTAAAAACTATGCTGAATAGCTATCAACCATAAAAAGAATCCAGTCAAACTCAGATAAAATTTGAGTACAGTATGTGTGCAGTACATCTGCATTTTAAGGACATTCTATTCACAATGGAACCTGGTTATTTCATTTTCTTCTCTCATATGAGTCACTTTCTCACATGCTAAACCTTCCCTAGTGTAGCACATTTTCTGTATCACCAAACGTTAGGTCACAGGAGCATGTCAAGGAAATGATGAGAGAAGAAACGAGACCTGGCTGGTGGCAAATGAGGGAAACAGACAAAAGAAATGGATCACTCTATGACCCTTTAAATGAATGAAGAAAAAAAAAGTAGTATTTATTCAAGACCAAATTGGTTGAAATCACCTCAAATGCTGAAATTCTGAGCACTGAAGCATTTGAGGAATGGATGATCTTTAAAACTGGTCCTTAAAAATAATGATAAAGTACATCAAAAACAGGAATTCAAGGAACCTGCAAAGCTCTCTATGAAATAAAGACATCTTCTCAGTGAGACTCTCTTGACCTTGCTTATAGTAACAGTTCAGGAAGGGGAAACACTAGAAGAGGTCTTAATATATTAATATTCAATTCCTTTCTGACTCCATGAATGTAATTCCCCTGTGAACACCAGAGCAACGGTCAGATACACTGGCATTTCCTGCTCCCCATCTCCTCCAGTGAACAAATGAGCTATATGTAGAATCATAGAATCATTCAGGTTGGAAAAGACGTTTAAGACCATCAAGTCCAACCATCCACCCAACACCACCATGCCTGCTAAAACATGTCCTGAAGTGCCATATCTACATGCTTTTTGAACACCTCCAGGGATGGGGACTCCACCACCTC